ACACACACACACACACACACACTCCTCCCCCATCTCCCACAACAGGCCCAGGTGCGGCAGCACTTCACGGGCGCGTTCTACCACTGGATGCTGGGCCTGCAGGAGGCCTGGTCCGCGGTGGCGCAGGTGCTGGGGCCGGAGGTGCCCTCCACGCTGCCGTGCCTCCCGCTATACCGCGGCTCGTCTGTCTGCAAGGGCCTGTACTGCGGGCTGTACCGCCCGCACAGGGAGCAGCTCGAGGCCGAGCAGCGCGCGCGGGAGGCGGCGCAGCGCGCGCGCCAGCTGGCCGCGCAGCAGGCGGCAGCGGCGGCACAGGCGGCGGCAGCGGCCGCAGCAGCGGCACAGGCAGCGGCGCAGGCGGCGCAGCAGCAGCAGCAACAGCAGCAGCAGCAGCAGCAACAGCAGCAGGCACAGCAAGCTCAGGCCCAGGCGCAACAACAGCAGCAACAGCAGCAGTCGCTAATGGCCCAGCACTTGGCCGCGCAGAAGCAGCAGCAGGCAGTCGCGGGGGAGGGATCCAGGCAGCAGCACAGCGGCGGCGCAGCGGGGCATCCACCCCCTCAGCAGCACGGGCCCTCGATGGCGCTGTCGAAGCACCGCTCCCCGGGGCCACAGGCGCAGCAGCAGCAGCAGCCAGCACCTCCCAGCGGTGCGGCGGCAAGCGCAGCGGCGGCCGCGGCCGCGGCCGCCGCGGCGGCGGCTGCGGCGGCAGCAGCGCAGGCGCGGGGCGGCGGCGTACCCCCGCAAGTGAAGCAGATGCTGGAGGCCCTGCAGCAGCAGCAGCAGCAGCAGCAGCAGCAGCAGCGCCCGGGGGCCGGCCACGGCAGCCCCGGGCCCTCGGCCCGCCACCCCCCGGCCGCCGGTGGCGCGATTTCCAGCAGCCTGCCGCGCGCGCCGCCCGCGGGCCCAGCGCCTCAGCCCCCCAGCCCGGCCGGGGCGGCGGCAGCAGCGGCAGCCGCAGCCAGCCTGGCCGCGGCGCGCGGGGCGGTGGAGGGCGCGCTGAGGGGGTGGGCGCCCAGCAGCGCGATGCCTCCTGCGCTGCTGGATGCGGTGCTGGCCGGCGTCAAGCTGGGGGTCAGCGTCTGCCCCCAGGCCGCGTCGGGGGCGCTGCAGGCCGTCTTGGCGGCCCGCAGCGAGGGGCGCGCGGTGCCGCTGGCGACGCCGGACGCGACGCAGGCGCTGCTGCGGATGGCGCAGAGAGGGGCGGTGGGCGGCGGCGGCGGCGGCAGCTCCGGCAGCCCCGTCAAGCCGGCTGCGCGGCCGCCGTCCGGCTGATTGGCTGCTGTGGTGCGCCCGCTTGGATGCTTGTCGAGGGAGCGCTCGCACCGTCCAATACAATTGTTGGCATAAACTTTCCTTGTTTTGCGCGCGGATGTGGACGATGTGGGGTCTTGTGATTGCTCCGCGGCGTGATTGCGTCACCGCGCGCGCGTTGCTCGTGACATTGCGGTGTCGCCTGTGCGCTGCTTGTTTGGCCGCTGCTCATTACACCACTTGTCGGGTCCTCCGCGTTTACGCGGTTGAAAGCAGGGCTCGCCGACTGTAAACAAATTTGGTTCAGGCCAACGGCGCTGGTCAACGCGCCCGTCAAGACCACGCGCCTCGTGATTTCAAGGGGAGCGGCAGCGGCAGTGCTGGGGCAGCAGCACAACCGGCAAGTCGACGTTCACACAGACTGCACTTCAAGTGAGCATGTTCAGAATCCTCCTCGCAGCACGACAGTGCTGCGAGCAAAACACCAAGTGACGCTGCTCAGCTGCGCGGGACGCAGCTGGCACAAAAGGGGCAGAGACTGAAACAAAGAAGACTCCTCTGCCTAGGCCACGTGAAAGGTCTCCTGGCGGTCGCTGCGGAACCACGCCAATTGGGATGTGCACACTACGCACAGCGGGGAAGCTACGCTTGGCGCAGCTTTGCTTGAAATCACCGTCGCTTTCCAGCCAGGAATGATGAGCTGGGCGATAAAGGCAACAGCGCCAGGAGATCCTATTTGGTTGCTTTGACAGTGATACAGTGCGATAAAGGTGGCATGTCAGCACCAGTCAGCCCCCTCCCGTTGCAAAACTATTGTAACGGGAGATTTTACATGAGAAATAGAGCTCCGAACCAGACCCTTCATTGGCATCGTGCTCGTTGAGGCTCACAGCTCCTGGCTGTGACGCGCCGCCTCGTACACCGCGCGGTGGCCCTCACCACCCAGTCCGTCCTGCAGCACTCCTGGCTGCAGTAGCGCGTCCCCATGGCGCGCCCGCAGCCTGCGCAGCGCCGCAGCTGGGCGCCCTCGCGCGCCGTCCTGCCGCATACGGCGCACGCGCTGCGCGGGTGCTCCTTCCTTGCGCCCCCTGCAGCTCTTGTGCTTGGCCCCTGCTGCGTGCCTGAGTGCCGCTGCGTGCCTGGCGACGGCTGCTGCTGCTGCTGCTGCTGCTGCTGCTGCTGCTGCTGCTGCTGCTGCTGCTGCTGCTGCTGCTGCTGCTGCTGCTGCTGCTGCTGCTGCTGCTGCTGCTGCTGCTGCTGCACCGGCGGCGGCGGCACCAAGCAAAGCTCGCCGGCCCTCAGCTGGGCAAGAGCCAGGGCAGCGCGCTCCCCCAGGCGCCCGTCCGCCTGGCAGCAGCCCGCAAGGCACCCCAACACATCCTCCACGGCCCTGTTGTTATCGCCTTCAAGCTTGGGAAGTCCGCCCCACACGTCGGCTCGCCGCTGATTGCACCGCTCTAGCACGGCGCGCGCAAAGCCAGGCAGGCGATCCGCCGGCGCCACGCCCGCGGCCAGTAGGCAGAGGGTGCGGAGGGCCTTGTCGCTGGGGTCGCCCTGGTGTGGGGCGGCCACCGCAGCCGACAGCAGCTCCAGTATGCCTGGCGCCCGGATCACCTGCGGCCGCCAGCCGGGGCGCAGCGCCGCCAGCAAGAGCAGGGGCGGGATCGCGTCAATGCCAGCGTCCAGCAAGGCGGTGATGGCCACCTGCTCCAGCTCAGCTTCCTGAAGCCCACTGCTGCTGCCTCCTTCTGCAGGCTGCTGCTGCTGCTGCTGCTGCTGCTGCTGCTGCTGCTGCTGCTGCTGCTGCTGCTGACGTGGTGCGCGCGCTGCGTGTACAACGGCGTAAAGTGCTGCTGCTGCAGACGCCGAATGTTGGCTTTTTTGAGGCCCTGCCTCCACGGCGGCGCGCCGCAGCAGCTGCTGCACTCCAGGTGTGACACCATGGCCGCCCACGTGTCGCCGTCGGCGCCGCTGCCAGCGATGATGCTGAACACTGTCACGCAAACTTGATTGATTCGTCGCCAATCTTCATCATTAGTTCCTCCGCTGCCTCGTTCACGCCGTGTGCGCAAGCTCGCCACCACGGCAGCCGCGGCTGCTGGCATGGCGGCGATGCTGGACGACCGCGCCAACAGCGCCTCGTGGGCCGCGATCATTGCCAGCACCTGCGCTGCAAGACCGCCGACCCCGGAACAATCAAATTGCCGCAGGTTTGCCGCATTGCCGGCCGCCCCTCCTCTGCTGGCCACGCCGCCGCCGCTGCCGCCCCCGTGGCGGGCGATTGTGCACAGCAGCTCCCCAAGAGTGTCCGCTTTGCAGCAAGCCGCGAGCGCCGTGCAGGCGCCCTGGTGGCCCCAGGGCCAGGCATTGAGCGTGTTGGCTAGGGTGACTAGAGACGAGCTGGCCAGGCTAGCGTCGCCGTTCCGGCGAATGCACGCCGCTACCGCGTCCATGGCAGCCATGTGCGACGCGAGGGCTCTCATCAGGGGTCTGACTACTATGCACATGCGTGAGGCGACGTACAGCGCGACGTACTGCTGGACCGCACTCCTGCGGGGCACTGTCTCCAGCCGCTGCCTGGGCTCCCCCAGCCGCAGCTCCAGCAGCGGCGGCAGCGCCTCGCAGAGCCAATCCACGTCCGCGCCCTGCCACGTCGCGCGCGCTGCGACGTACGGGTCGGCGACGGAGGACGACGGCTCATAAGGCATGGCGAGGGGAGCTTGCATGGCGCGTCCTTGCAGCAGGTCTGCGGCCTGGAACACCTTCTCAAGCATGAAGAGAGGGTCCCCTTCAAACAGCTCCGCCGACAGCTGCGCGTGCGCCGCCCGCAGCAGCGCGCGCACGGCGGCCGGCCGGGCGATGGCTCCAGCCAGGGCGAGCTGCGCGCGGGTGATGGCGGCGCCGCCGCCGGCGCCGGCGCCATCGCCGCCGCCACCAGGCCGGTTGGGTTGCTTATCCTTCATCAAGGTGAACGCAGCGGCTGTCAGATTCCCGCTCAGCAGCCACACCCGCATCGCCCAAACGTCGCCGCAGCCGCCGCAGCCGCCGCCGCCCTCCTCGCCGCCGCCCTCCTCGCCGCCGCCGAGCGTCTCGAGTGCGTCGATCAGCGCGGCCACGCGACCCTCAGTCAAAACCGCGTCCGCCACCGCGGGCACGGTCAGCATTATCAGCAGCGCGTTGCTGGGGTCCAAGGATGATGAGAAGTCTTCTTTGCTGGCCAGTGCGCTGCCGCCCGCCCGGCACAGTTGCTGCAGCAGTCGGTCCAAGGAGCGCTCGCCGGGCACCTCAACCGCCGCGGCGGGGCTGCTGCCTGCAGCGACGCAGCAGGCCTGGTGGAGCCTGTCCAGCGCCACGCCGGCAGCGGCGCGGCGGCCCCTGTCGACGGCCGACAGCAGCTGCCGCAGGGCTGCCTGAATATGGACTGCGTGAAGCTAACGGTGCGCTGCAATTGTGGCCTGCCGCTGCGGCAGGATGCAAGCAAGGCATGCATGCTGAAATAAGACAGCTGGCGAAGGGAGGGATGCGGTCGCGATCAGCTGCCCAAGCACAGCGCACCCTGACACTCTCACTGCGTGTGCGGACTGCAACACAGGATGCAACGCAAGGCCATATGCATGTCCGCCCAGTCATCAAGCCACTCACCTCGATCTAGTTTGTATGACGATGCTTCACAAGCCTTCTGAGAAGCCACCGAGCCCTTTCGCAAACTCAGATGCCCGATCAGCGCGGCACGGACGCGAGTTGTGAGTCTCCTGCAAGGAATGGTTCACATGCATCACAGAGTTATTTTGGGCCGCAAGCGGCTGCCAAATAAAGTCCTGCCGCCACGCGTGGGTCATCTGGTTACCTGCGGCGATGCATCCAGTGTGTGTGGCAAGTCACGCGCAGAAGCATGAGGCCTGAACAACTGGGAAAACAGCAACCATATATTTGTCAATCAAAATGTGTCTCTGCAATTAGACTCCTCTTGTGCAGCACAGTCGTCACAGAGCTTGCAGTGCAGCTGTCACCCACAACAAGGCATCAGCCGGCAAGTGTCCTCTGGTTGCAGGTGGCAGCCGGCGTCCCGCGCTGATGGTGGCGATGGAGCCCTGCTTGACTGAGCGGGGTCAGGGCATAATCAATCCGCGCTGCCACGAGAACTTCCAAATAGCCCTTCACTGTCACTCCGCCACACCAAAAATTACACCGCATGGAAACCTGCACCCCACCGTCACTCACAGCCAACTTCGAAGCTGCCGATGGCGCCAATATGGGAGCCCGAACCAGGAGCGCCCCCCCCCCCCGGGGAGGGGGGGGCGTGACATCCTCGGGACGCACGCATGGTGCCCGCCCCGTCACACCCTCCCGTCACACCTGGAATAACACCGCATTGTCACCTGATCCCCTCCCGTGTAACCCAACACCTCCTCCTGCAGACAGATGGCACGTCAATACACTGCGATCAAGCGCCCCAACAGCGGGCGCATGCCGCAGGGCGGGCCTGGCGGGGGGCTGCTTCACTCAGCTAGTCGCACAAGCGCTGGGATGGCGCTGCACTCAAACAAGATCAGCTCTCCAGGGCGGGGAAGCCACCCTTGCATCACAGCAAGGGGTCCGCCGTAGCATTTAAATCTTTGCACGGCTGCAGCATGTCCAGATAGACGCAACAACCGCTTATGCTCGGCACTTGTGGGCGGCGAAGGGCGCTGCACCTGCTCGCAAAATGGGCGAGACGCCGCAATGGGTGCTTGCGCCCCAGAACAAAGCTTGCACACTCTGGCAAAGAATGCGGCTGCACGGCGCGTCCAAAGCTGGCGCCTCCCAATTGGGTGGAGAACCAGGCAAATGATTAATGGAGCCCAATGGGGCAATTGAATTGCACGCACGTGGAGGCTGGCTCGTTGTGAGCAGCACCCAATGATTCCACGCGATGGGCGCTCCTGAATTGCGAAGCGCAGAAAAACAGCGAAGCAACGCCGCAAGGCATCGCATAGCTGCCTCAGGTGCACGGGCGCCTGTCCGCACACTGCAGCAGACTTGGCTCGGACCCCTCCGCGCCTCCGTCTCGGCGCACTCTGGACAGAGAGTGCGGCCCAGGCACGACCAGGAAGCACCTCCGCTATCGTGTTTGCAGACGTGGGGCCGGCCTTGCTGGCACGGCCTGTCAGGGCTCCCAGGCATTAGCTGGGCGGAGGGGCGGGGCCGCGGAGGCGGCTGCCGCCCTCCTGGCAGCTCAGGGCAGCTCCAGGTGCTCCCGCCCCTGCCAGTAGGCACGGCCGTAGTCATACTGGTGGGGGGGGACCAGGGCGGGGCGAGTCGCTTCGCAGGTGCGCAGGCAAGCATGGGGCGTGTGACAGCTGCCACAAAGGACGGGCTCGGCTGCGCGATTGTTGTGCTCGAGCGCTGAGCCGGGGGGTGGAACTATGCGTGTGCGGGTGAGCCCCGCCTGGCTGCTTCAGTTCTGCCCGCGGCGACTCACCAACAACTCCTCTCCCGGGGCTGAGGGGGCGGTTGGTTTGTTTCCACCGCGGAGAGGGGGCGACAAGGTTCAGGGGGCCGCGGTCCAAGGGATGCAGGTGAGCGGGCTGATTAAAGGAGGGTCCAAGTGCGCTGGCAGGTGGGCGGTGCACAGCCGCTGTCCCGGCTGTGGCAGCTGAGAGGGGCCGTCCGTGTGAAGCGGCGGGCGCCGGCAGCGCGCCCATGTAGGGGGCGCAAGTGGCCTGCCGTCTGCACCTGTCCGCCACCCGCTCGCAGCTCCGACAGGTGTGGTGCAAGTGGCGGCTGTCCCCCGTGTGCCCTGCGCCCGTCCTCCCAGGCCCCCGCGCCCACCGATGTCGCGGTCAGCGAAGAAGGCGATGCGCTGGGCTGCGCGGTGGTAGTAGCGCCTCACGTTGGCGCGGCCCGCGGAGTGGTTCATGTGCACCTTCGGGGTGATGGTCAGGGGTGATGTGGCGGTGAGAAGGAAGGATCAGGGGTGCAAAGGGCCCGCAAAGCCCAACCACAACCGCTCTGTGCTGCTGGGCCATGCCATGCCAGAGTCCAGGCACATCCGTCTGACGCTCACCCCAATCCCCACCGACACCCCCCACGCCGCCAACCGCCCCCTGCCGCAAGGACTCAGG